AGGCTGCCTCCCCAGCCCACCTGGGGATCCAGGGTATGGGGGCACTGGCTGACACAGAGCGGGGTGGTGCCTCCTGAAATAGCCAGGGCATCGCCGCAAGGGGGCCCCTCGGGCTCTGCTGTGTGTGTCGGCGTGTGTGTGAGTCCGTTTGTGTAGCTAAACTCTGGGGGGCGGGGTGTCTATAGCGGGACTCCAGGATGTGTGTGTGTGTGTCAATAGCAGGACACGGGGGGCATACACGTGTCTGTGTGTATGTGTGTAGCTGAACTGCAGGGTGTGTGTGTGTCAGCATGTGTGTGAGTGTGTTTGTGTAGCTAAACTCCGGGGAGGATGTGTCAATAGCAGAACCCCAGGGTGTGTGTGCATGTGTGTAGCTGAACTGCAAGGTGGGTGCGTGCATTGCAAAGCTGCCGGGTGTGTGTCTGTGTGTACCTCTGGGATGTGTGGGATCCCTGGTGTTATCTCTGGGAGGAGCAGGGACAGGAAGAGGCAGGGGAGGGGCAGGGCAGGGGCAGAGCTTGGGGAAGGAGGCGGGGTGGGGGCAAGGCCGGGGCATGGCGGAGTTCAGGCATTGCCCTGGATAAATGAGGAGGTCAGTACCTACGTGTGGTGCATCCTCCGCATGGGCAGAAATAAAAGCCTTAGGCTTTCAGCTTGGAGAGACGGCCTAGGGGGTATGCCAGGCTCTCTACAATCAGAACTGGGGTGGAGAAAGCGGCCGGGGATGTGGTATTTACTCCTTCTCCTAACACAAGAACCTGGGAACCGGGGGGGGGGAGTGGGTGAAATGAACAGGCAGCAGGTGTGTGGTGCATCCTCCGCATGGGCAGAAATAAAAGCCTTAGGCTTTCAGCTTGGAGAGACGGCCTAGGGGGTATGCCAGGCTCTCTACAATCAGAACTGGGGTGGAGAAAGCGGCCGGGGATGTGGTATTTACTCCTTCTCCTAACACAAGAACCTGGGAACCGGGGGGGGGGAGTGGGTGAAATGAACAGGCAGCAGGTTGCAAAGAAAC